GAAACTTCACGTGTTCTAACATTGGGCAGGACCCCTATCCACTCCAGTACACAGCTTTCCTTATCGTCCCTATGAGAATTATCGTGACCACTTCCTTTAAAAGGCGAGCTGCAAAAGCTACGAATGTGTGTAGCTAGAGGAAAAAGAATTCGACCATGTTCAACTTGTCCCCTCGACGGATTAGAAATACCCTAAAAATCTGTGAGACGTATGCGTGATGAAGTGGAAACGTCGGTTCAACAGTTTCAATTCTTCGAAATTACTAAGAAGTCAGAAGTAATGGATCAGTGTTGTGCATTTGTCCGTTACGAAGCTTCTGGCATTCACCAACCTCTTGGCAATTTGAACGTTCACCTGAGAGGAGCACATTCAAACACCAACTAAGCAAGGCACTGACTGACACTGCTATGCACGGACTTCAATTGCTATTATAATATGCCTTCCATTGTCAATAGAAAACATTCACAATTAGCATATTGTCGCTTAAATGTTGAAGCGTTCAGCAGAGTGAAGTCAACACTGGGTAACATTGCTTGACAGTCCGAGCTCAGATTTTTATTCCAGCCTCGAAAATGACCACTAAGCCCCTCATCCGCTCAAATGAATACACCACTCGACAGACGCTGAGAAAGGCTACTCACTTCAAGGCCCAGCACAAGTTAGCCACATTGGAGTCTGCTCGTACAGACATGGCAACATAGGATAGGACACCGGGCGAAGACACGGTTTTTCGAGAATTTCCTATTTTCAAAACAAGCAACTTTTTATGGACTTTCTCTCCTCAGGTAATCTTAACTCATGGAAAGAGTTCGATCTTGACGGGCCGGGTGGATTTTGCTACTACTGGAGAGGCTTGGCCGTGAGTCGCTCGTGCTCTCGAGAAGGAATTTCGGAAGAGGCCCGTTGATGGGTCTGCGGCGGTTTCGCAATCAGCGGAAATTCAGAAGTTGCCGTTCCATTATTGCGTATGAACTGTAAAGAATACCAAGCAGTGCTCCAATGTCACCTGTTGCCCTTCCTTAGCGAAGCGGAGCGAAAATTGCATTTTTAGCAACAGGACCACGTGTCTTTCGATGCTTCGCAATCTACCAAAGAATGGCCTTAACCAAATGGTGCTGAAGCGATAGATTGGCTTGTGTGTCCTCCTTACTGCAACCCTATAGGGAGCCCTTGATCAAGGCGTTAACTTTAGCAACCGGCAGTATAATACCGCGGATGAACTGAAGGCGGCGGTAGAGGCTATTTGGGCCGACAGCGACGAAACAGCTATGCCAAACGTGGTTCAGATTATGCCGGACAGGATGTTTGAGCTAATTAGAAACTCTGGAGGCCCCACTGATTTCTAATCTCAGCTATGTTTTTGTCTTTTGTTAAGTGTGCACATACTTTTGAAACAAAGAAAAAAATTTCATCCAAAATTTTTTTCGAAAGTGAAGCGATATTATCTGCTTTGCTTCCATTGATAGGTTATCGACTACGAGAAATCGATTGAGAAGGATTTCATAGCACGAAACCTCATGGTTCCCTTTCAAACGTGAATTTTGAGGGTGTGCACATACTTTTGAAACGCACTGTATAACCCATATCATACAACTAAGCGGCGGCAGTGGTGTAGCGGCAGGTGGCATGCTAACCATGCACGCATTCTGCGGATCGAATTCTGGGTCTTATTTCATCCGATCTAACCAATCCTTCCAATCCTCCAGGGTCGGGTAAGTGGTAAAAGACTTATCTGGGAGGACAAAAACACTGATTTTTACATCGACTGGCCCCCGCAAGTCATTGTTTGGGCCAAATCGCATCTAAAGGCCACTACGAGTGTACAAGTAGAAGTAGACGCGTGCTATCCCATCCATCCTAGAAAGGGATTGATCAATGGCAAATTCTTATCTTTGTCCACAACTAATATAGTAGGGAGAAATTGATAGGGTTCGTCACCATATAAGGCGGCGTTTTCCGTTATCATTTATTAACCCTTTCCGGACCGCGCCTTTTTATGCTCATCGCCGCGTGCTGCGCAGCGCGTATAAATATAATATATTTGATCTGTATTTCCATTAAGAGTCATTACTTTGTCCCGCATTTGTATTTGCCATGCCTGAGAGTATATGTCTAGCGAATATGACAGAAAACCGTCGTGTAATAAAAGTGATAGGGCCATAAAAAGGGAGGCAGAAATGAAAATTGTTCAAAATAAGTTGTATTGGGGGAAAAGGGACCAAAAAGTGTCCGAAACGTTTGGATTTAATAGCGTCAGATACGACATGCACGTGGTGTCATAACTTCGGTTGTATGAAGTGTTTTCAAGTGATTTATAACTGTTTTCTCTGAACTCAAAGCGGTCATCCATTTAGTATTTAGTTATTTTAAAAACTATTTTGAGGATGAAGTCTAGGTTTTCTCATACGTACGAGATGAGTATCTTACATGGATATGTAACAACGTAAGAGATTTCGTCAAGGAACCGTATTCTCGGAAAAATAGTCCCTGACACACCATGGGTGTCAGGCGGTCCGGAAAGGGTTAAAGTAGATTTGCTCAGTATGTGGGAATCTTCTAGTGAAACAAAATCCGCAAGCACTTTTCAACCCCCGCGCAGGGTCGGTCCTATCGTTGAGACATTTCGCAAGACTTTTACGACCCATTCCTTCTCGACAGATTTCATACAACCTCTTCTTCACAACTTATTTTCCCCTCGAAAAACACCGTCGGGTGGGAGGGTAGCCGAGAATGATACGCACGCTGAAGACGGCAAATTGTCTCGCGCGCTGCTGCTCCACATGCTAAATGTAGCGCTATCAAACAAGTACTGGAACCCCCCCACTCCTGCCGCTTGTACTAGTGTCCGCAATGTAGAGATGACGCCTGCCCCTGCCGACAATATTATCATTGTCAAAGGATGTGGACTGGAATGACCAGTTTAGTTTGTGTTGGTTTGGGCACTGCCAACAAAGTTCCGCCTAAATGTCCCTGGCTGAAATGCCGTGAAGTTCTGCCAATTCAGCGCTGCAAATTTTCATAATGAGAGAGAAAAGCGATTTCGCGTCTCGTTGCAGCCACCTCGCAAGAAAGCACTTTATTGATTCTCCCGCTTCAATGTGACTATTGAACTGGTAACCCAATACTGCACTCATTACGTTCGCATGAGCAAGGTTGAAGTTCTTTGTTATACATTTTTATGAAATGGCCATTCCTATTCGTAAATTCACAGCCGTTATCATTGATTTCTCGTTCATGTTCGCGCTCCACCTCTCACCGACCAGAATTGATTGAAAAGGTTTGAGTCATCACAATGGGGAAAAATTTACCTAAGCTCTGTTATTCCGAACCGCTTACGAAGAACCTGTGAATTAGTTTGGTTTGGAACAATAATTTCAAAACATTACTCAGCCTTTCTCATCCTTATCGGTTTATTAACGAACACACAACACTTGTCCGAAAATATGACGTTCGAATAATCGCATTCATGAGTACGTTTAACTGTTTCTTTTAATTGTAATTTACGGCGATTAAATTTAAAATTGAACAGTGACGAATAATTAAGATCGATAAAACCCGTTGGTGTGCGCCACGCGCCCCACTTCCGCTTTTGGAATTTGGCTGCATACAATGAACAAAGACGGACATTTTGTGTTGGTTGGCATCACTTTCCCCAAAAACCTGGGTAAGACAGAATCTTTGTTCTGTTGGTAGTTTGAAGATTACTAGCACTGCTCAGAGCTTTATGAATACCTCAATTCGCGCTTTAACGAAGTTTAGAAGTTGTGAACATCAAGTACCTGTGCTAGTATCAGTACCTTCAGCAGTGCAGAAGAATACCGAGCCCAACGACACTTTCATTATTCTTCTTTGTAGTAGTTACCGAGCCAATGATCGATAAATTTCTTAGCCTCCATTTATCCCTTCGTTTCAAAGGGATTCACTTGAGTGTGGTGCATCACTATGACCGTTGCAGCAAAACTTTCAAGCTGTCCATAGATGTATTTGTATCCATAAGGAATTTTGAATATGTTTCAGTTTTCAATAATAGTACCATGTAGCTGGTGGTCGCTCGTTCAGCTCTCCCTTTCGATCGTTCTTCTCATTGAAAGGCATTGAGAAAACTATTTTCTGTGACCTCTGTTGATGGTGCTTTCTAGAGTTTCTTTCTCATTTAGCTATTTAGGTACTGTAGACCTGATTTATTAACACCTTGTAGTATGGAGGCCAAAATGGAAGATATTCGAACAACGAGAGTCCGTGGTCTTGCTTGGGTGTGATTGGAGAGGGAAGTTTAGCACTACTTCAGAGCATCCATAGTGCACGTAACCTTATGAGACGTACTTATGAAAAAAAAATGGCACGAGGCAGTCATCTGGGCTGCTGCTTTGACGTCGGTGCTGGCGCTTTCGTCCCTATTCCTAGTGGCGCGCCATAGATGTTTAATATCATTTTTATGAAGCAGGCTCAGACTCGTCGTTTATATGTTTCCCTTATACCTACGCATTTTTCCCTCCCGTGACTAGTGGTAGATTCGACGATTACCGTAATGCAACCATTCATGCTGTTTTAACAGCTAAATACTAAAAACTTCATCCAGGACGAAGGTCGCGCTCAAGTTCAAGCTTTACCTTACGCCATGTTGGTCGTGAGATGCGTTGGGAAATTTTTCTCTGTCAAAGCCTGCATGAGGGTCAGCCGTCGCGTTCACACTTTTCCAACCATCTTGCGAGCCCCCGCCCCCCCCTTCCCCACTTTAGGGAGGTCTCGATGCGGACCCACCACTACCGTCATCTTCAGGGGACTCCCCTCCTACACCCAACACCCAACTCCATCTACTTCCTCTTCCGAAACAGCCGTCGAGAGGGGGTGTATGGTATCATGAAGCAGCAAACCCACTAATTTAATAATTCACGCTACCTTAGTGAACTTCCGCCAAAATTATCGAAATCCTGTCGGATACAACCTCCTCTTCAGCCTCGTTCACACTTTTCCCAGAGGTAGTTGGCCTTGTTGAACACCAAAATGCGACCTCGCGCCTTCCCAAAATCGCAGGTGGATCTCCTCTTTCGAGTAATGGGAACGGTAGGCTGACCCTGGCCTGCACTGGCCGCACTTTACGTCTTAATATGGATGTCACAATGTTGTCCGTTCTCCTTAGTCTCTATCCTTTCTCGTTCTTTTATCGTCAGGTTCTCCTACATGGGCGCGTTCTAGCCCTGATGAATTCGTAAAATGCTTCAACCCAGCTCCTATCAGAGAGGTGTTGTGGTGTTGTACAGACAGAGTCTCACCTTTTTTCACTGACACCTATATATCTTATCACTTCATGGTTGTGCAGCAGCAACCACATTCTGCTGTCTAAGAATGCGTCCATGAAGATCGACCCCTTCTCTCAAACTCTCCCCCCCCTCTTTACTGGAGGGTTGTGAACGGTCCCATTCTGAACTTGTTCTGCGATAACCGCCCATTTTTGAGCCACTTCGTGAGGTCTCCCGAAGCTGGCTGATTGTGGACTAATTTCCTTGAAAAGGGTTAAAATCATGACTCCAGCCTATCCCCACTTTCTGAAACGACTCGAAGTCGATAGGTCATTGTTAACTTTTGTTCATTGTTGACTTCAATTTCTTCGAAGTCGCAACCACATATAAGCAGCAGTTCATGGAAAGTGGAATAAGCTCTATTGAACGGTGCACCTTCAGATGGGTTATGCAAATGCCTATCCGAATACTGCAGTGAACGGATTCCGTATTTACCTGAACGAATCAGAACGTGGTCCATTCACTGAAGGCTCATTCACGTGGATATGGTAGGTAGTAGCTGTTGTGGAATGAAATCTTTCTCCTATGTCAACTCGAAATGAACTTACTTTTGGAACTTCAGGTCTGCTATTCTCAATGTCTACTTTCTTGGTTTCATTACTGGGAGTATCATAGCCGTTCCGTTGGCTGATCACATTGGCAGAAAATGTGAGTTTCCTAAAAGGAAGTGATTACAAAGAGGTAGCGCATTGACGAAGTCTATGCGCCACACAAAGCAGCAGCGTAGCTGCTCAGAAAGCGAGAAGTCACGACGAAAGGTCGCTGAGTGAGCAGTACCTGAAAATCGCTACCCCCCTAAGCGCCCCACTAGTTTAGTTGGTGATTTGGACGAGCTGTGTTGCCAGCAGCGGCACAACTGGAGCAACTCGACTGGAGCATGGATTGGCATGGTGTCACCAAACGCGTTGCGGTGAACTCGTCCGACTGTCCGCCGTCTTAGCCGCTGCCCCTCCAATGGCCAAACAAGGGGTCCCATTTTGCGTTTCCTTGACGGTTTCTCTGCTCTTTCGTCATTGGTTTACCATTGCCCCTCCCCCCAGTTCCCTACTAAACCCCTCTGGAACTTATCGTGGTCACTTTCCTAAACAGAACATAACCTCTCGCAAAAGGAAGACCTGCATGATCCGTGAGCGCTTTAACTCGAGCAAAAGAGGGTTCCATTTCTCGGTTCCATGTTGTTTTCCTTGATTTTTTTGCCATCCCTGCATCCTTTACCACCTCTACCTTAATTCTAGTCAGCTGTCTTTTCATCGTGAACTCTGTTGATGAGGTAGTCATCGAGCACTCTTTCAACTGAGTCTCCGTCACGATTTTCCCCTTCAGGTTGCCCTGCAGCCGAGACAGACTGAGACAGCCCAGGAGCCAGTAATTGCGCAGGGCGAGGCTAGATCTTTAGGAGATGTGACTGAATACCAGCCAGTTCTCATGGAAGGCGTTGATGGGGGGACTCGTCCACCTCCACTGCAAAGTCACGTATTAAGACGACCAGTCTGAGCTGGCAGTGTGATCAGCTCCGTTCCATCAGCCTCCCTACAGCCTTGATCCCGCCCTACCCGCTTACCAACTCTTCGGCCCCCTCGGCTTTCGTGCGCGGTGAAGCTTTTCGAAGCCAAGAACGAAGTCAGGAACACGCTCTATGACTTCGTCACGTCTCAGCTCCTGTATGTGTGGAAGGTAGGGATCGAAATGGTGCCGGAGCTTTGGCGTTGAGTCGTAAAGTGCGAAGGTGCATGCCTCTATACTCCAAGGAAATCGGGTTACACCCTGTCACATCATCCTACGGAAATTGTTCAAGGGTGCCTGGTTTGCGGTAATTCGACCAATTTCGTGGCTGCTGTTCTATCAACCGTCTCTATTATCTGGATTTTTCCTGCACTGTTTGTTGTTAGCAGAATAATCTTCGCAGTCGGTGCTGCAGTTTCGATGAACAGCTTAGTACTACTATTGCAGGTATAGCATTTTCACACGATTAGACACTTACAGAAATACGTCAGTGAGAGACACGAAATGAACGTTCGTCTTTTTTTATGTTCCTCTTGATGTAGCATGTGTTTGCGCCTGTTTATTAAACAACAACAACAAAAAAAACAGTAGAAATGCATATTGGGCACAATAATAAATCAGACAGCTAGCTAGTGCGTGGTGTTTTATTTTCGGGCAACTCTGGCATCAAGCATCTTACCTAGAAGGGGTGAAGGAATTGGTTGATCTAAGAGGTGTCATCGCGTAGGTGCGCTGAGACACCCTTTCGCCACCTCGAGGCTACTCGCACTTTTCTGCCCACTAGTCAAGAACCAGTCGGATTTGGTAGGAATTCGTTCATGGCTAAGGGATTGGCTCGAAAGAAGTAATCCTAGAGCATTTCAACTAATAAAACACGAAAATCGCATCATTTTAGCTCGAAAAGTTTGACACCCACACCACACAACACCACAAGCGCCGGCGCTATCACACCAGTTTTGCGCCGGCACTCGTAAGCTCCTCTTGGCGTGGCACTTGTGGCGCGGGCGTCAGGCGTCTTCGCGCTAAACGGATGCAATGTTCGTGTTCTACGGGGCGAAATACCCCAGAACACCACCTCTACAGTGAAGTTGCGTCGGCAAGAACTGCCGCTATGAGCTAGGAGCAGCAGCTTCCCTTGATACCTGGCTAGAGGAAATGACATTCGAAAAATTACGCGGTTCTCACTGATTTCATAATTATTAGGTTGGAAAGAAAGTCCTGCAACACTTTTTCAAATTTTTGATTTTAATTTTATCTTTTTTGGTTACAACTCCTGACCGGTCTATATCTACCATGAGTGTCCACCACTTGTCTCCAACGCTCAGAAAATTTCTTGATGCTCCTTTGCCAAAACCCAGCGGAGTGCGGGTCGAGAAGGAGGCGACCTCACTTTCGAGTTGGAGTTGATCGTCTATTATTTCATCAAGATGATGATTTAAGGTCCAGGATAGGTGGCAGTCATTTATAGCTCGACCAGGGGAATACGCTAAGAGAGGTAAGAAATCTTGCCGCAGCTCCAGAATTTCTTACCGGGCTCATTTCGGATCATGGTGATTCGCAATGTCATGAAAGAAATAAATATTGTCGCGGTACGAGGGCTCCTGACGAGCTGCCTCGGCCAGCTTCTGGAGTTCCGCAGCCTAGACCTCTACCTACACAATGGTGCCCATAACGAAGAATTTGTAGTGGAGCTTCCGTAAGAGCCCTACCTGTAATGGAGTGTAGGGACGCTGCTGGCTTCTTATAAAAATATCAAAAGATCGAAAGCGCTGGTAAAGGTGAAACACGCTGTAGCGGTGAACGGCATGCCTATTGAAGCTATTGCAGATAGTGTGGTCTTTGACACGAATCCATAGTTATGGACATTTGTACTAGACAGTGACTCGGAGTACGGATTTACTAGTGGTCGAGGTTTTTTGAATTTTCTTGGATAACTACTGACTGCAGCACTTATATCCACCTCGTATATTAAAGCCTCGATAATGCTCTACCATTTGTTAGCCATAAATGTTCAGAAAAAAATCTAGAAAGCGTGCTGCAGAACTTTCTTCCCAACCTGATAGATTTTCACTGTTTAAGGAGTCAGCCCCTGTTTCTCTACGTGGACTGATGTCGTTTAATGCTGAAATGGCTTTCGTCGTAACGAATATGATTGGAGCACTGGCTGGGATGAGTAGTGTGCTTGGAACAAAGCTTGGTTGGCTTGTTGGGTGAGTTTGGGAACATTCTCGCCCATGCATTTTCCTACAAGCATTCATGGATCACTGGAAAGCTAGACTAATTATAGGTTGGCATGTATTCCAGCATTGCTCTCGATCCTGATGGCTCTGTATTTCCCTGATTCTCCACGATTCCTCCTTGTGAAGAGAAAGAAACGAAAGCAGGCTGAGAAATCTGTTGAATTTTATCATGGCACTAGTGAGACTTTTTTATCAGCAAAAAGCAACATTTCAACAAAAACAGAGCAACTGTGAAAAAGCTAAGCTTTCTCTGTGGATCTTTCAAAATGCGCCACCTTCTTGAGTTTTTGAGAAGCCTTGGAGCATACAAAGCGAGGCACCACGATAAGTTTGGGTCGGACTAAAACTGGAAGTGGGATGCTGGGTAATGCACTAGTGGCAAAAAAAGCAAAGAACTTCATTCTAATGCGATTCATTCGCATTCCAGGAAAAAAGTTGGAGGTTACAGCCGCTCGAAGTGATGTACCATTTCAAAATGGTAGTCGATCAAGTTGTTACTGGAGGCGGAGCCAGGCGGAGGCGGAGCACAGTAAAGTTTGACAAGTTTAGTGCGCAGAGACTGAGGCACCTTTAGCCGAAACGGCCACATGCATCCCTCGGCCCGTGGCTACTGTTTCCACTGGTATAGTGTATGTACTTTGATACTACACTCACGTTTCCTCGTAATCCCTCCTTAGAGAGCTCCAATGTGCGTGGCAGACGCTTATCTGGTCCACAATATACATGCAGTAGCGGTACTATTGACCGCTACTGTATGTCCGCCCCATCCGCAATGTGCACCTTGAGCACGATACAACGTTAGTGTCTGAGTCCACTGGTCTCCCTCCTTTCCTCTCTCCTCGTCCCGTGTCGATCGTTCTGGAACACTCTCTTCTTCGCCGTAGGGCGTGGGTCAGTGGGCCAGCTTTGGATGACTGAATCGTAGCTCTTCCAATAGCTACTCTGGCTCCCTTCTTTATTGTCACGATGAATCGATGGGTTGTCACGATGGTTTTTAGGTGGCTCACGATCACAGGAGACTGCATCTGCTGAGAATTCGTTTAACGGCAATCCTTGGGAAAAAATAGATGTGGAAGAGCGTTCAGTAGAGCTAGAGGTGGAAGAAAAAAGAAGAAAGCAAGAGAAGCCCCAAATTACGCCGCTAATGAGGAGTCCCCTTTATTTCAGCCGCATTCCACTTTGGGAGAGAGAAGAGGTTTGTTGGTTGGAGGAGTTTCACAATCTAGCTCCACTTCCTTCACTGCTAATGACATTGAACCGCATTGCAACCGCTCCCGCAAGTGTGCGTGCGTTTTTCTCGCAGCATCACGGGAAGGCGTGGCTTGCGGACGGAGGAGTGGACTGCGAGACGAGCGAACTTCTAGCCCATTTATCGACTTTTAAGCCCCAAAAGGCGCGACATCAACTCTTTAGGTTCTTCCTTTCGTTACTACCTTGAATATGTAACAGGTTAGCGTGCCTAGTTCTGGAGCGTGCCTTGAATGCTCCTTGCTGCCTCTACCACGAGAATTAGTGTGTCAGCATAGCTTCAAATCGATTTATTTGCAGAAAAAAACGATGTTCAGTTTTTCAGGTAAGCACGACACTGCAAAGGTGCTTCTGTCGTATGAAAATGAAGGCATTGAAACCAACGGTTCGGTTAAAGAGCTGCTTACTACGAAACATGTGCGGTCGGGTCTTATTTTAGGTGAGCTTGCTAAGTTCATTACTTTTTCGAGATTTATTTGCAGTTGCATTAGGATGATTGCACTTTACAAAAGGTGGCTGTACATGTAGGGTTCATGAGTAAAGTAATGTATTAGTAATTACAGGAGTCATCGCGTTACAAGCTACCACGTCAATTTGGCCTGTGATATATTACTCAACAGATTTCCTAATTAGAGAGAATATCAATCCTGAAACTGCTGAACTCACATCTACTGTGATGTTGTTCGTAAGGTGTGTTTATGAGTTCGGGCGCACATTCAAATGCTGTGCTGTAGCGACATATTATTGATGCACTACCAAAACTGTTAAAGGCAAAGTTTGGGCTCAAACCCACCTCAGAAGCCCTCACCATGGCTAAAGTGCTGGGTCGAGACGCGTCGCTAGGACCCTAGGCGCCATGGACTTCTAAACAGACTCCCCAGACTTAACATGGTCCGCCCACCGTTCGATATCTTGTCTGCGTCGCCACGTTGATCTGCTATGCTCTCTCTTCTCGGACTTCTCTACCACTCTCCGCGCTCACATTATCTCTCATCTCCCTGTCTTTCTTTTGAACATCTCCACAGAGACGATATTTCCTGTGTATTTCAGGATTTTCTTTCCTCTTTTCTCCACTGACGGTCCACCCCCATCCCTACTTTCATATTTGAGTGGAATCAGGGTCGGTCCTATCGTTGCTACTTTTCGAAAAATTTTTACGACCCCCTTTTCCCTACCTCCACCATCTCCATCTTCCATCAAAACCCCGCCCACTTTTTCCTCCAAAAATGCCGTCGAGCGGGGGGTATATAGTCACTCTGAAACAGTAAATACCAAAATTCCCTAAATTTCCACCAATTTACCCCATTTCTACCTATAATCCCACTGCTTCATTTTCTAGGGGAGGTATATACGCGCGCTGAAACGGCAAATTTTCTCCCGCGCCACTCCCCACTCATCTCATGCAACTTCTTACAATCCGAAGCAAGTACGACCCCCCTCTACAAACTCATCAAAATACGACCCCCCGTTGCTACTTGTAGCAACATAGGGTTGACCCTGAGTGGAATTATCCCATCACTCAATCCTGATTCTTGCCTTTAAACATCACACCATGGAGCAAAATGCTTATATTTCCTATGTATTGCCGGATTTTCTTCCTTTTTTCCTCCACTGGCGGTCCACCTATCACCCATACCTTCACATTTGAGTGGAACCACCCCATCAATCGATCCTGATTCTTGCCTTCAATGCAAAAACGAGGGCGCTAACTCAGCGGGAAGGGCGGCAGTTGCCGCTGCGGCATGTTTGCGCATCTCATCGAGAGGTGGGTGAACTAGAAGGTGACATTTGAAGCCATTTGGCCCCACGAAAAGTCAAGGAGTTGAAAACCCAGTTCGCTGACTTGTGGCTAACTTTGGGACATATCAAAGAAATTGCAGTGGTGCGCCCAGGGGGCTGACAGCCAGTAATGACTTGCCTTCAACATTAGTTCGCCTTGAGCATTTTGAACCAGAAGACTATATCATTGAAAAGGTGCCTATACAGAAGTGTCTTGAGCTTAAAACACCGCAAATGTTCTCTATCGTCTGGCATACATTATGGGTACGCAGGGTTTAGGAAGCACCTGTGCATAACAGTTTTCGTAGATGTCTGTTGGACCTTTCCAATTCTTCGTTGCAGCTTCATAGTGGGCGGGCTTCATATCTGAGATCCATGTTGCAACAGAGTCAACCCTGCGTTGCGCAGTTCTCAACGGCCACGTTGCGCAGTTTCGCCCGATTAGACACGTTCTCTCGCGCGAACATTCACACTCGCATGCTCGAGCCGTCTGCGTCTCCGCCCATACAGCGTGCGTTGAGGATCTCTCAACGTGCCGTTGCGAACTGCGCAACGCAGGGTTGACTCTGGTTACAATATCGGTGTCACATAGGTCTTGTAAAGTTGGGCCGAGTCTAAACTAAGGTAGCCGCAAAATAGAACTGCAAATTTTTTAGCTGTATATCAACTGTCACTGGAATGGTAGCCGTCGAACATTATCCACGCCGTCTACTGTTGCTCGCTTGCGGCTTTGCGAACATGTCAGCACTGTCGCTTTTTGTGCTCAGCGCACAGCTTCAAAATATATGGGATATATGCAAATACGGTTGTATTGTTGCTGTCGTACTACATGGTATCACCTACAGGTAAGGCGTCACTCTATGAATACGGCCAGAAGCTCCTTAATTATTCTAGCTTCGCCTTGGGCCCCATATCATGGTTTATCACGGCAGAGCTAGTGCCATTGCAGTACCGGGCGCTATGTCAATCTATGGCGCTTTCGTCTAATCAGGCAATCGCCTTCGTTCTTTGCTTTATTACTCTACCACTCTACGACAAAGTTGGTAAGTTCGGATTTTACGAATGCGTCCAAAACTGGTACAACAGGAAGGCTACTAGCCAAAAATCAAGCAAACAAATTATGCACACATCTTTTGGGTATCCATGACTTTAGGCAGGAATTTATCAAGCTGGTTACTGTAAATAGTTCACTTAAAAAGCAATGTTAATGGGTGTGTGTATACAAAGTTCCATTTCAAGCCGCTTAAATCGACAAGCGCGTCCTGGTTGAATAAGGGAGAAGCACAAGGCAGGGACAATATCAGTCGAGGATTCCTCAACGGCTTGTCGAGGATTTTCGCCTGATCAGTTACGCTCTCCCGCGCGGACATTCACACTCGCCATGCGCGAGCCGTCTGTGCTCTCCGCGCGTACGTTCACTCTCGGCACTACTCTCGCACAGTACAGAGCCATGGTCGAGGAATTCCTCGACCGTTATTCACCCTGATTCAAGGTTATCCATCATGGTAAATGGCTCCGCCGTCTTCTCTCGCAAAAAATGCTGAATTCTGGTTCACGGAGGTGTAGAGTTGTTCTGCAGAAGTGTGCGGGGAATTAGTGCTAGGTACGCGCAAGGCACGACGGTATCAAACGATTCTGACCCATGGGGCTACGCGGTTCGACGGACTAAGGTGTTTCCGTTTTTTCTTTCGCTTTCTCACGAAGCTGGAAAACCCCAAGTCATCGAGAAGTGCCAACCGTCCCTACGTTTTTATCCGAATTCGCTCGTCTGAGGTAGCTAGGCACAAACGCGGCGACTTGATAGCGGGTGGGCCAACCAGGCCTTCCACTTTTTTCGAGTTCTGCTGCGGGTAAGCGCCCCCGTTTGGCAATAATGACACTGGTTTAGTGGCTACCTCTAGGAAAATTAGGTATATGTATTTCGTGACTGAAGTCTGCAGAATCTTTTGATTCCAAGTGGGGTTGTGTCTGACAAGTCACAGAGTTTTGCGAGTCACACAAATAAATCGTATTGTTTAATTCCATAATTCTTACTTCTTTGTCCTGTATATGTTTCGTCATTAATGACAGATCCGTTTGTTTCAAGGATCGCTTGTCCTTCTGCCACTGTTTGTCATTCCTGGCCTGATGGCAATGTTCTACCTTCTATGCTTTCTACCAGAAACCCGTTCGAGAAGCATTGACGAAGTGATACTAGAACTCAAAGGAGTAGATAAGTATTCCATTGAGCTAAGCGCTCAAGCCCATTTGTGAGTATATTTTTGACTACCTGAATGAGACTATTAGTTTGTTTCTTTGTAATACTTGTTCATAGGAGAGTATCATATATAGGTAGGCAGAGGTATGTGCAGTATTGCGGAGTCTGTTCAAGTGTTATATAAGTCCTTACTCTTTCCATACACCCTTCAGACCAGTGTTGAAGTGATTAAAGGAGCAGGTGCGATAACGAGGGGAGCATCGGGGAAGTATTTGCGCACAGAACAGTGGTTTGGGGTGCCAAGGAGCGAGGTATGGTGCTTTCATGGTGTGTGGTGATAGCAGAAAAAGTGCCCAAAAACGACCATATGGATAGAACTATGTTGCTTAGCGCGCAATAGCGGGACCAAAACGCGGTGGAGTATGGAATTGGATGGCGCTACAAATGCGGTAAATCGGTCATAGTCTGTCATTTAGAAGCTGTCTTTCGGATGAGCGAAAATCAGCGGCGTTCAGGGGTCGTATGCGGGTTTGGCGATTTCTCTGCTTTTTTTTTGCCCATTGACGTACATTGAGGAACACATACTACGAATCTCCAGAACCTACCGTTTGCGACTTACCAGACACGCAGCGCGCTGCGAGGTGTTGTCGGGTTGCCTCTCAAAGCCCTTCCACCACTTCCAGGTTCTAGCTGACCGTGCCACGTCAGATAACGGTATCGGAACCTTTTTCACCAACATTTAAAGGGAAGTGACCTGCAAGAAGTCCTGGTTCAACCTCCAACTACACCTTTTTTTCGCAACTCATGCCCCGATTGCAATGTGGACCTTATCATGAAGACTATACGGGTAGTTTCCAAGAAGTTGGTTTTTTTTACGTTCTTTTTCACTTTTTCTAACTTCCTTGTTAACTCAGCGATTCCCCCCGCCCCCTCCCCCTTGGAACGGAAGAAGCGGAAGCTCCCACTTTACTGTAACACATTAGGCAGATACGAAATTTTAGTATAAATGCAGTTCGAACTATGACTTGACCCAGGTCACCTGTGATAGCTCTGAACATTGGTGCTTTTGTTTGTTTATATTTTGTCGAGAATGAAGTTTCGATTTTTGCGATGATCCGTTGGACAATTTTAGCTTATGCCTACCTAATTTTAGCTGCCACGCACGTACGATATCAAGAACCTTTGAATTTGCTCACGTTGAACGAGCGTTTCCTTTGGCTAATTGAAACCAGAAATTCAAAGAGCTGGTCTGAACGTTGTCTAGCGATTATTTAGGACAAATATGCTTCTGAAGACCATTGCGATTCTGTATGAAAGTTTCATGTTCAGCCTATCTCATAGCGAGCCTCATTTGAATTAGCATCAATTGAGTGATTTATTTCTCTGCTAGTTCTGAATGTTCACATCAGCAATAAAAAAGGGAGATTACTGCATATGTATTTCCACCCGGAAAACTTCAAATACATATGTGAAGCTGTGATTCATCTGAATTAAGGAAAATAAATGATGGTTAAAGGCACACCCCACGACCAAGTGAGTGTGGCGATTGCGCTCGAATATAAAAGGATTGCGAAGGGGCCGCCAGTTAAGAAGAAAGACTGAAAAGGAAAACAAGGAAACCTGCCGTTGAAGGCAAAATTACAGGTATCCTTGTTCTAGGCTGTCTAGGAGACAGGAAGTTGGGTAATGTGTAAGAGACGCTGACGCGAGAATCAGTCGAGAGAGCATCGCGGAGAAGCGAGACGAGTGAGACCACAACTTTAGGTGGACCCACCAGCGTTTAGCGCCTAAATGTTTTGGTTCTAATACAATACATATTCTACCACATTTACGCGATATCGCATGGCTCCGCTACTTCACAGCTTTTTCGCAACATTCACTGCCTTGCCTCATATTAATTACGTGACAAATATATTCGCCTTGTTCCAGTAGAAGTGATGGAAAAAATCAACAAACAATGAACAATGGCATAACAATAAACGAGAACGCAGAAATGACAACGGGTGAAATAACACTAACAATAGAATGAGCATGCATACTTATCAAGTCAATTTCAGTATTTGGTAGTCGAGTCAGTTTGACATGGAGATCTGGTGAACGATTTTCTGCAGAAACAATGACGTTCATAGTGAGCGGGGAGTACGCAGGATGATCGAAGGTCACCTTAACATTTCATTAATACAGAAGTCGACCAACACCTGAAGTATGTTCCTATTTCGCTGTTGAGACACGCTCCGCCCACCGCTCGATATCTTGTCTGCGTCGCTAACTTGATCTGCTATGCTCTCTCTACTCGTACTTCTCTAGCGCTCTCCGCGCTCACATTATCTCTCATCTCCCTGCCGGCCTTTTGAACTTCTCCGCAGCGTAGAGCAAATGGCTCGCATTCCCGCACTGCTCGCCCAAATCCTAGGGAGTTTAGTGGTGCTGCTTCCACTCTCTTCCAAAGTTTGCGAAAAGGTCTCAAAAAATTGATAAATCTCTCTAAAGAATCACTACGACCCACCTAGCGAGTGTCACTACACTGTATCTACTTTAAGAACCACTCCTCACTTTTCGGAACCTTTCTGTCGGTGGCGCCCGTGAGACCACCTCCCAATGGAACTGACACCACCACCTACCAGGGATCTTTGACAATGGCTCATCGCCGTATTTGAGAGATACACAGTTTGCGTTCGACACGAAGAGGAGAGAGACTACTGTGAGCAGCACTGCGTGCGATTGAGTGCCGCCCATCCACCACTAGTGTACAATATCTGTGAGATTTTCAGAGGCAAAAAAATGAAAATCTTAGGTGCTGATAATTTTTCTGTTAAATCACGGTATTGGATTCATTGATGCGATAAAAGCATTTCACACTAATGACTCCAAGACATAATTGAAGAGGATTTCATAGTAGCCCACCTGATACTGGCCAATATTGACAGGCCGCCAAAATTCGCCGTTCGAATACGTGGTTACAATCTTCATTCTATCGTCAATGCTCACAGTGACGTTCAGTAGACCTTGACCAGTCCTAGCATCAACGACTCTTCCGTGAATCGCGCTGTAATTAAATTGCAGATGCTTTCTTGAGCTCCACGAAAATCGTAACTTGTTTTCCACTTTACAATCAGAATTGCCCACATTTAAAAAAAACTACGCCTAATGAAAAAAAAACAGCAGCCCAACATTTTTCATCATAATTGAACTGCATTCTGGAAGTTTTATGTATTGATCGTGTGGCAAGGTACAGGGCGTATCGGAAACTCGCTTACCCTCGGGCAGTCCTTCCCGTGATGGACCAGATGAGCTCCTTTTGGACTTCTAGATCGTTTTCACTCAAACTGTACCGGCTACGAAACCTTCACAACCTTTCAAAATGCCAGGCTAGCCCCGCTCCCTTCGAATGATGCTTGCTCAGCTCTGATAGTAGGTCGATTGGCACGCCACTCACAGCAAGTGCGGTGCAGAGTACAATCCCGGTTCGAATCTTGCCCAGACCAACCAAGCCTTCCATCCATCATTGGGTTAATTAATACCGAGTTCGTCTTTTGGATAAAACCTCAATTAGTACATCAGCATGGCCTCACATGTAAATCGCATTAGCAAGCGATTCTGAATGGAAGTGGTAAGCGTGGCTACGTAAGGGCTCACAAACACCTGATGATTTATGTTTGTTTTGGAAGGTACTTCATTTCTATCCTGTCATGAAACAATGCTGAAGCAGGGATAACCGCATTAACTATTGAACTCACTTGTGAATTTGCTTGATGAAGTATAGTAGAGGATATTTATTTTCATCCCATAGCGCCTTCAGTTCACTTCTTGGAGGATATTTGACACAATTCAATTCAATTGTGAGCTCGAAGCAGTTGGTGTGTAAGTAATTCCAATCTTGCATACCACCGGATACGATATACCTGGAATTTACACTTTACGCAGAATTTCACCGAATTTCATCAGGAGTTCAATACCAACCAATCCGCTCCGTTGACAATGCCATTCTGTGGCTCTGTGGCCAAGTTCAGGTGATCGTCCAAGCATCTTGGTCCCTACAAAAAAAGCATTGAGCAATTATGATACTATGGAATAAGACGTATAAGATAAGGCGGAGAATTGCCCACAAGGCAGTGTTGTTTTGTCGTGGTTCATTGAGCTTTTTTTCTGCTTTTCAAAAGCACTCGTAAAGTTGTGGCCGTCCGAGACGGCCAAAAAGAGAAAAAGGCGCGTTACTGAGGCGTTGATTTACGTACTTTACGTTTCCAATGATACTTCATAGACAAAAGTTACAGTACCAAAATCAAATGAACAAGATCACAGCTCAGCCTTCTTCTTGTATTTATAATGGTCGCGTCTCATACCTAAGTCCCATCAGTCGAAACAGTTCATCATTACAAACAGATTTACATCGATCATTTACAAACAGATCAAACAGATTTAAACAGATTTCTCCTATAAGTAATGTCGTTTTTTTTCAAATCAAGATTTTTCCTATAAGATCCCAACTCTTCACACAATGTTACAGATCATTCTGCAAAATGCGAATTGAGAATTGCCTGTTCTGCAAAACGCGTTGACTACTTCGATATTCATTGTAGGATTACTGACCTACAGGCTTGTAATGAGGGAGGCACAGTAGATGAATTTAAAGGACGAATTCACGATGAAAAAGCAACCCATTTCAAATTAACCTAGGGATGGTGAGTGGTACACGAAAGAAGGAAGAACCATGAGAAACGGCCCAGAACCCGAGAAATGGGACCCCTTCCTTGCCCGTTGATTTGAGCATTGATGCGACTCTCATCGCTGTGCCCTCTTCAACACTACGCTCTCTCAGCTATCTAATCACTCGCCACGTATTGAACTACGGCGAGTGATCAGATGATCGGTGGGCGGAGATCGCCGGACCCGCCAGCTTTGAGGCATGATAGGTCGCCGAGGTCAAATTTTTCCATGCGAATTGCGCGTCAGTTCGCACCCTCAGGAGGTCCGTGGGTCCCTCAACTAGGTCAGTTTCCCTTTCTTCGACCTTCATTCTAATCGTGAATTCCTCCTTTAAGTATGGATGGGGGCAGGTTTTCTATCTGAGACGAAATTCAGTATTTCGACAGTTTGCATTCTGATTTCCGTGTTCCGTACATTCCAATAT